ATATTTTTACTAAAGCTGGGGGAGCATATATCCCTCCTACAAAATTGAGGAGGATGCAGGGACAAATTTGTGATAAATCTAGGTACTAATTTTTAGTTTGATTACATTGCTGTTACTTACTCATTTACTAGTTTGAAATTTATAGCTAATTAGATTTTAATGCATATTAAATATTAAAATTTTTTCAGAGAACAATGGATAGAAAGCGTTCTCGCAGCCGCACAAATACTAAGGATGATGACGATAACCAGAGAGATAAAAAGACCATAGAATATATTTTTACTAAAGCTGGGGGAGCATATATCCCTCCTACAAAATTGAGGAGGATGCAGGGACAAATTTGTGATAAATCTAGGTACTAATTTTTAACAACTGAAAAATTTAATTTTCTGTAATAACTTATAACTTGTATTGCCACAGTCTAAAAACATTAGACAATGTTATAAAATTTCCTGTTTCAAATACAATGGATACATGTTAAATATGATTAGTTAGAATATATATCAATATTTTTAACATCATAAAATTTTGTTCAAACTGAATATATTCTGATTGATTGCTTTGAGTAAAGATTGCCATGAACTGAAAACGTGTTTTATTTAAATATTTTGCTAGGAATAAAGCTCATATTTACCATTATATTTAAATTTACCATTGTTTTTAATAATGTATAATAAATTAAAGCAGGTATATCTTAAAATTCAGGTTTATTTTAAATAATAATTTTTTAAAAACTTCATTATATTGTTAAATAAAAATAGATTTTAATAATTGAAAATATTTATTTCTTCTATAAAATATGTATGATGTATCATTAACAGTTTGGATTGAATAGAAAGATTGATATATCAATTGACTTTTTAGTATTTCCAACATTCTGAGAAACATTCCTTATACTTTAAATTCATTGGATCAGTCATTCTCAAGATCATTCTCACATTATTGTACAGTACATCAGTCAATTCTGTTCATATTTATTTTATGAAATGCAGCAGATTTCATTTTTAAGAATTGGCAGTTTATTGTAAATTTTTCACTGTTTAATATTTATTAATAATAATCTTTTATTGAACAAGTAGGTACAGTAGCTTATACTTAATTAACTGGTGAACAGTTGTCATCATTAAATTACTAGAACTCTTGCACTATTTGTTAAAATTTAAAATTTTTCTTACATGGTTATAAAGACTACATAAAATATTGCAGCAAAAGAAAAACTGTAGGCAAACAAAATGTTTTCTGGATTATTGAGTGGCTTATTGTAACTTGTCAGCTAACTAGACAGAAGTTTTTTTAAATCGAATGTGATTTTTAACAAGTCGTTACCTCCATTTTTAAAAGGCCAGTTTCAAGATAGGAAGCTTTAAACTAAATTGCAAAATTATTATAAGTTTAAAACTACTACTTTATAATTACAGATAATACATTTTTACTAATTACAAACTGTGCCCATAAACTTTAGCACATTGAAAAGAAAAAATATTTTTATTTTAGTATTTGTTAATAATTTGTATACTTACCAGTTTAGATTATAATTTTCATATAGAACATTTTAACTATAATTTTATTTTGTATGACTATTATACTATAATATGCTTCTTATCTAGCTTGTGAGCACTATGTTGGCCTTTTTATTCCTAGACTTATTACACCATCTAATGTACTGTGTAATAAGTCTACAAATGTAGAGGCCAACATAGTGCTCACAAGTATATTGTATGACTATCATATGTGAAATATATAAGTAAATAATTACAGAAAAATATGTATTGATACAAGTTGTTATTTTTTTTGTTTAGTGAGAGTTATCAGAAGATAGCCTGGGAAGCTTTGAAGAAAAGTATAAATGGTTTCATCAACAAAGTAAATGTTTCAAATTTGAAAGTTATTATAACTGAATTATTCAAAGAAAATCTGGTTAGAGGAAGGTATGATAATTATTTTTGTAATATCTAATTATCATTAGTAGCTATAATCTTAGATTTAGGATATGCATTTTGATACTGATTCACAGGATGTGATTATAAACAAATTAAAAATAATAACCTACAATATATGTTTGTTAATAAAATAAAAAATTAACAGCTTACAAGATTTTGCCAGTTTTTAAATTTGTTTTAATTTACACTGTTAGTTATAAAACAATGATCAAAATTATACACTGAATCAATCTTCATTAAGGATTTTGCATAATTTAAAAATATTATTAATTTAAGATGCATTTATAATAGTATGTGGAAAAAGTGTTCTATATAAAATCAGATGGAAGTTGTAAATTTCATAAAAGTTTGACTTATAGACATTTAAATATATTCTATAAGAATATTCAATAATTTATTTGTAATTAACATTAAGCTGCTTAAAATTTCATACAGTGATATTTAAAGAAAGTAAACTTATTTTATTATAGAGAGGATTATTTTAAAATTTTTAATATGTTATTTCAGATCTGTAATGAACTATATACAGGGTTCCTACACACCTGGAAAGTCAGAAATTTTCATTAGTATTCAGAAAATTTCGTGGAAAGTCAGGGAATTTGACAAAAATTGTTAAAAACCTGGAAAAGTTGGGGAATTTGCCTCTTTGGCTGCCTTGTTGATATTTTTTGCTCACAATAAGGCAGACCATCTGCAGGCAGCGAGAAGTAATGTGGTAGGTACAATGCAACTTATGGAAAGGCATGCAGAATATTTTCAGGACCCAAAATTTCCCCAAAAATTATTGCACACAAACTTAAATCATAATTTATGAACCAATTAATAATTATTATTACATAGTTTGGAAAATTAAAATTAAATCATACATATAAGCAATACTAAGCTGATAAGTTAACATAAATATTTTAGATTAGAAGAATGCTTTAATTTAAGCACATGTTTTCATCATCCTAGGATAGCATATACAATTATAAACTTGATGCAATATGTTGATTAATAGGAGTAAAATTGAATTCAGTACCGTAAATTATTGTTTTTATTCTTAGTACAGACAGTAATTAATAGACTTTTTGACATCCAAAAATACAAAATTTCTTTATAATGATGATCTCAAAATGAATTTTTATGTCAAGGCTCAAAAATTTCAGTTAAGTATGAACTCCAAGTGATAAACATTAAAAAATATTGTAAAAGAAAATTTTCATATTATTGGAATTAGTCTTTTCCCACCATAACCGTTTTCTCTAACTTCTAGAACACTTCTTTACATTATTTAAGTTAAATTATTTTAACTGAAGGTAATAAGAAAAATTACATACGTTTACAATTTAAATAATTTCATTAAAACATTATAATTTTTTGAAATTACTTAAAATTTTAAAGTAACACAAGTTGGATCTGAGACATGGTTGTTATTACTGGTTTCCTTATGTGCTTAGTCTCATCAATGTCTTAGTGCAGTGGTGGCCAACAGTTTTTGCCCCCGGGCTGAATTGGAAAGAGAATTTTCTTCACGGGCCGAACCAGAGGCTGCCCTAGGAAGATTTTGAGGTGGTGCAAGATCTCATTGTGGTGTCACCCTGTAGAGACTAAATTGTATATAGAGATTACAGATACATTTTTCACATTATCATGCTTTATCAACATTCTATGCTGTACTTAAGAGATTTGTAATGGAGGGTTAACTCTAACTGGACAGCGAGTTGTTGGCCTTTTTTTTTTTTTTTAGGCGTTAGAACTTTCACCAATCTATTCTGACTTAAGTAGCTAATATTGAAAGATTAATTGCAGGCCACATAAATCCATTACACAGGCCACATCTGGCCCACGGGCCATATGTTGGCCATGCCTGTCTTAGTGGATAAAGTTTTTCAGGTTTTCTTCACAAATCTAACACCTAAAGAGTTAGTTTCCTGTAGAAAGCCTTTCTGGAGGCATTCCTCCTTGCAAGATTTCCAGGTGTTGCATTGCCTTCTTCCAGAAAGCTATCCATTCTGAGATACTTAATTGATTTCTTTATTTGACATCTTTGAAAGCATCATTCAAAATCACTTAAAATTTTTGAACAGTGTGTAGTGCTGAATAGTAGAAATTTTCATGTGCAAATGGTTGAGGTAATTTCGGGTAGAGTGCATTGTAAAATGCCAGGGAATCAAACTAAGTTCCAAATATAATATATTGCAGTATCAATTGTCATTTGTAAATTTTCACACAGCTGTATTAATTATGCAGTACAGTGGGTGAACGGTTAACGAACACAATCCCTTCCAAGACTTTGTTCTCTATCCGAATTGTTCCTTAACCGATTATCTATTTACCATAGGTTTTTATGGAAATATGATTAATTCGTTCTGAAGACTTCCAAAAATAAAAAATATAT